GCTAAGGGTTGGGGAAATTCTGGCATCCATTTTTTGCTGAGGGTCCTTTACACAAGGCAAGAAAGACTGAACAAGTGAAACTTGAAGGGAGTAGTAGTGCTACTCATTTATCTATACAGTGATTAAACCCTATAGAAATATGGCAAGGTGTATACTTTCCAGGTATGAAAATCAGTCATTATACAAATGTTTACAGAGGGGGGGAAATTCTTAAATATAAGTGGGGACAACTGAAAACAGAGAGAAAAGACTAGAATACAAAAATTAGCAATACTACCAAAGTGTATATGAAGTTGCATCTGGATCTCCAAAACACCCTATCTACAGCTTTTAACAGCACACACTGTCTGTTGAGTCTCTCCAGAGCTGAGAACATTATGATTTCTAATGAACTTTTTCTAGTCTTCACTAGTTTGGATCAGCAACAGATATTTATAGTGACTCTTACCCCACCTACAGAAATATGTGTTACTAACATGTTAGTATCGCCATTCCTCTCACCTACTTCTGCACATTTTTATTCAATAGTGAAAAGCATTCCCTTTAAGAATTTGGAACCTAAAGGGAGCTGCAGAGTCAATTTGTTTCTCTTCCTGCTTCCTTGTCTGCTCTTTCTTGAAAACCAAACTACTTTTCCCCCCTTTGGCTGAAAGCTCAAACTCAAGCTATGTGGATCCCTCAATAAGGTAAAAACACTTGGGGAAGCCTCCCGGGGAGACCTTAGGTCTATCCCACCTGACTATGCAGAGCTATAAATATACAATGATCAAGAATAGAGTTCTCTCATCTATACACTTGAATGATACGTATCTAGAGTCTTCCCAGGTACCTTCAGGAAACTTCCACAATAGTTTTTATCTTTTTGGGAGAATTATGCAGCTTGAATTTCACTTTAAAGGAAAGGGGGTGGGGTAAGTTTGAGTATCAAGAAAGAACAGAAGAAGGGAAACAGAGGTCAGTTCTCAGCAGGGAGGGAGGTCTGGATGAGCATCCCCCATTGCATGAAAAAGGGAATTTCTAGGAAAAAGAATCCTTGTTTGTAGCTGTTACTGCTAAAAAGAACTGATTACTTTTTTTTTTAATCTATGACTTGTAACTTCCTTTGATTTATGAGTCTCTTACTTTTATCTCTAAGGTTGCTTATCTGACACTTTATCTCTTGTATTTGCAGTACTGCGAATTTCACTTTTTTTGTAAAATTAGTTTGCTTTTAAAGGTATGTAAATTGCATTAATAAAATATAAAAAATTGTTAACTCTATTTCAATTTGTTCATTCATTACTAAAGAAGTTGTATGTCATAGCTACAACGTGAAAAGTAATATGGTAGTTGGTCTATATACTGCCTTCAAAAACGGACAATACAATTTTCCCAGGGCAAGAAAAAAATGTGATTTTTCCTAGTGTTAAAATGAAAGTGATTTTCATTTTAGGTAGGCTTCTGAAAATAGTTCTAAAATCTTTGGTATTTTTATAGCACATGTTCCAGACCACTGGTAACTTGGGCCTGATAAATTAAGTAAGATAGCAATTTGATATCTGACAACTCATACATACATACATACATACATACATACATACATACATACATACATACATACATACATACATACATACATATACACATACATATATACACATACATAT